GCTCAGCCCAATGTCCAAGAACCACTGCACTGTCGGCTTCAAGTTCTTCTCAATGCTGTACACAAGAAGGTGTGGACAAGTTGCGATTGCCTTCACAACTTCAGCGTGTTTGAGTCCTTTGCTCAATAGCCATTTTATTCTTGGTTGTAGCGCTCTTTCGATGGATGTTCCACTCAAGGATGCACGTTCAATCATAAGTTCAATTTCTTTCTTGCTGAATCCTTCAGCTCCTAAATGGTCTGAAATCTCCTCTGATGTGTTGCCACCCTTCACAGCAATTGCCTTTTGAACGAATCTGTCTGTCCGCGCTGACACTCTCACTGAACCTTTACTGGCTTCAAGATCAAAACGATTGGTCACTCGAGGACACAAAACCTTTTCAAGGCCCCCTGAAATCTGTTTCAACATGTCTGTCAAAGTCCTTTCAAGCGATGCCCTGCAACAGGATTGCCAGGTGCTCACCTGGATACCTACAAGCTGATCCTTTAGGCCTCTGCTATCGGTGTGGGAGATGCGGAGCACGCATGACCCTGGAGGCCCATATGCCAAGAGCGCATCGTTTTTGCTCTGGTCTCTGGATCTGCCTTCCCTTTCCCCATGCCGCCAGTATCCATCATATTCCACAAACAATGCCGCATTCGGATCCTTCAGCACTCCGTAAGCCGTTAAATCTGGCTCCAAGTAGTGTCCATTCCAGCCATCTGGAGAAGGAAAGCTCCTGAACAGTTCCTCAATGGGCGTCTTCGGCATGAAACGCTCTGCCAAAGGAGCCAACAACTGTGCTTCCGCCACGCTGTCAACGCGTTTCCTGGGCCATCCCTGTCGCCACCAAGTTGGTGGCACGGAGCTTCTTGAAGGTGCAAGCACCCAACAAAGAAGGGCTAGGAGCAACGGCCATCGGGGATTTCGGACATGTCGAGCAAGAGGCATGGTGGACTTCTATGACGATGGCTTTGAGCTGAACATGTATGTTGTGACGGCCGGTCAGGAGTATGTTCGAGGAGTCTTAAACATGCTTCGATCTCTGCAACAAGTTTTTGCACTGAACGAAAGAGTCCAACGCACACGGGGGTGCAGGGGGTGATAGTTGATAGTTCTCGATCATATTTCGCACATAAACATCCATTCACTGATCCGCAGACGATCCATGATGGGCGCAAATATGGCCTACATGACTGGTGGTTTTTGGGTGATGAATGTAGGTCATATTTACGCCACCATGGATCGTTTGGTGATGTCATTGACATGGCACCAAGACACAGTGATGAACTTCCACAGACCTGCAACGGCCCTGTAATGATCAAATAAAATCAAATAAACAGCATGGTTTTGGCTGGGCCAGTCCAAAGTCTTGGTGGCCTCATCTTTGGCAAAAAAAGGCCTCATCTTCGGCGGTTGTTTTCCCCTTTTTTTTGGATGTTGCCTTTGGACACTCCAGTTTTCATTCCCCTTTTTGCGGACTCGTAGTCAGCGCACGCAAGCTGCCTGCTCCATCAAGCTGGACATCTCCGAGATGGGAGACACCTGGGGAGTGATTGGGGTGGACAACTACCTGGCTTTTCGAACCGAACTCCTCGGGATCATCCATGTTCTAAGCATAATGATTGCTACTTGAAGTGTACTGGGTCAAACCCTGAAAACGCAGGGCCGCGGAGCTACTGGCAGGACCTTTCTGTCGACCCAACTTGGATTGGTCTTTGCCATTTCTGCGGGCTCAAATCCCAGGTCCTTGCACGAACGGGGTCCCTGATGGTGCGTGTGCTTTCAGGACTTGCGTAAGGAGATGTAAAGCGTAACTCAGGAATCGATCGGAGTTCGTCCGAACTTGCTTCCAATTCTTGCTATATACTCATTAGGTTCCAAAAAATGCTCCAAAGCTCATGAGTGTAGCTGACCTGTCCACGTCTATGCGCATCCAATGACATCGATCCTGGAGTCCTTCCACGTCTTCCCCGTATATGGATCGCCCCCTTTCATTCGTCTCCACAGACATCCCCTGGCGCGTCGTTCCGCGCGACTTGCGGCAAAGCACCACGTTTTGCAAGTCTTTCAACTCCTTGCGACTTGAAGCACAGGTCTCCACCACGCTCCGCAAGGTTTGGTGGAATCCTCTCCTGGGGTGCCGAAATCAGCATCGGGACATGAGGATTTCATGTCGAGGACAGAGGACAGCGGGGAAACCGATGGGAGAGCTAGGATTCACTTTCCACATGGCCACGGAACCTTTCGGACGTCAAGCGTGAAGAACAAGGGGACCATGGAAGGCATTGAGTTTGGCATAGTTTGACCATCTCCAATTTAGTTCCAGCGATCTTCAATCACCAGACCCGGCCTTGACTTCCGAATTGATCGGGCCGTGTCTGCATAGTCTTACTGTATCCGAAAGATCCTTCCCAAAGGACACTTCTTTGCAATTGATCTCATGGTCGAAAGCAAGACAATGCAAAACAATGCAAAACATATATCATTTGCCATCATTAAGAGGCTCAAGTTCATTATGTCATTCTGTTCATTCCAGGAATGTCCAGTGGTCTACGAAGATCGATCTCAAGATCCGAGTCACATTTGTGAAAACTCGCGGATGAGGTTGTCGAACTTGGCGGAAAACCTGAGATGGGCAATCTGCTAGGGGAGAGCCATGGCTTGAGAACGTGCGATGCCTAGTGAAGATGGCAAGAGTTCTAGTGGGGGCGACATGTCCACTGTGTTCCAAGCATGTCCAAGCGACTCCTCTTACCTCAGGGGAAGTTTTAAGCACAATCTCACTTCCAAGAAACGACCCCACCGTGATATCCATCTGTTGCTGTCTCATGGAGGCGTTCAACCTCAGCAGCTCCTGGCACCAAGCGCCCAGGATGCAAGAGTTGGTCTACCCAGTTCCAAATCAATGAAAGAAAGCCACCTATAAACCAATACCTGCAGCCTTAAGTCGTGATTCTTTCACCACCTCCACCAGCGTCCAGTCACTCCCGTCGTCTTCGAGTCGGTCGCCGTCTCGCCCGCTCCTCGCAATGCGCTCGGAGCCGCTCGCACTCGTTGTTCTCCGGCGTGCGGCTTTCACTCCCCGCGCGGTCGCGCCGGGCCTCCTTGGGTCGTTGTTCGCATGTGACGTCAGGGCCCCGAGGCGGAGAAGCGTCACACAGTCACGGTGAATGATCCAAGTGAATGTTCCAACAAATTGAGTCGACATTCTCCTTTCATCTCATTCCATGGCTCTCCACTCAATTCCCTTTGGGCCTCACATGGCCGAAGGTGCCGAGCTGCGGATCGGACGTCCTCCCGGAACGACTTGACGGCGGCCGCCGGATCCAACGGCGAGCTGCGCACCTCGGGGGCGTCACCATGGCCGGGACGGGTGACGGTGGGTGACCGGCCTGGTGCAAAAGTTAGGAGACAAAAAGATCCTTGGAGGATCTTGAAGGGAAGTCCCTTGAACATCCTTGAAACATGTCTCACTATGTCTCACTTCTTGCCATGATACTATAGGCCTGGACCACTAGACCAACTGAATAAGTTGGTACATTCGTAGGTGGACCTTTGGTCCTGGACTGAGTGGGCAAACTCCACCTTTCCCCTTTAGTCGTTTCTTTCGCGTTTCACACGGTGTTGATGGGTCGATGGTGGATGTTGGGAAACACATCGCTTCTGCTGCAGTCAGCCTTGGTGGTCCCCGATCATTTGCACGGTGGGTGCAGCTGCGGTGTTCTTCAGCTGCTCGCTCCCGCTACAGCGCTGGGAAAGGTGTTTTTTTCAGTGAAGATGGCCAAGTGAGCATCGGGGAAGCTGACGACGTCGACAAGCGAGCCAAGCATCCCTTCGTTCACTTGGTTGAAAATCCCTTTTAGATTGGATATGATATGACTGGCCAGGTCCATTTCCACTGGTCACCATCATCCATAGCTGGGGGTGCCGGTGCCATGGTAGGGGAGGAGCAACCAGGTAGACTCAGTGAACTGTCATTGACTCGAATTGACCAGGTAGACTCAGTAGACCAAGGGAACGATCTTCCAAGACACTTTTGCCTGACCCAGTTGGTCACCCCAACAGCTTTGGTCAACTAAACTGACTTGTCAATTATCAAACTGATTCTGTATGGAAAAGAAATGGACCCTTGGTACCTTGGGGATAATGGAAACCAAGGGTCCATTTAACAGGTACATTGATTGCATTCTGCCAGAAATGGACCCGAACGGTTGACCTCCCTTGACCGAGGATGTGCCCAGAACCGAGGCACCGCCCAGTCCTCGCCCGATCTGCCCTCGACCTGGCAAGGACCGTGGTGCTTCGTAGCACTCATTCAAATGTTAAACATCATTTTTTTAGCCCTTCTGCAACAAGGAAGGAAGGAAGGAAGGAAGGAAGGAAGGAAGGAAGGAATATATCAAACAATCCATCAATAATAGCAATCCATGGATGACAGCTGAGCGGCTGACAAGAATGCACCGAACTTCCCACCGACTCTGCGACTCCCCATCCACACGCCTGCCGCATCTCAGATCTCGGGCGAACTGCGGGCAAGTTCTCAGGTGCCTGATTCACCGTTGCTTCGCGTTGCTTCGCGTGGCGAGCGACTTGCAGCGAACGGAGACAGATCCATCGCGGCCACTAGCGACGGCCGAGCGAGCATGGATCGGTCGTCCTTTCCTTCAGGTCCTGTGAAACCAGAAAGGGCGAATTGTTGATGTCCATGTTGGGTCGCCCGGATGCACCATGAAAGCCGGATGAAGATGATGAAGATCACAAAAACAGACCTGCAGCCCAGTTCTCAATGTTTTGTTTATAGCTGCATGGGACGCTCCTGTAACTGCGTCCAGCTACCTTTTCGGCAAGGTTGATTTATATAATTGATGAGAAAATCGTCTCTAATTTTGGGAAAACTCCCAACATGCCCTGGTAGCAGGGACAAACAAATTGGTCTGGCTGTCTCATGACCCACACTCCATGCATCTCCATGCCTACATTGACCAACATCTCTCAACCACTCCAATGTGGGTCGTGGGTCTTCGGTCATGTTACTAGTAGTGATTCCAGGAGCCCCGTTCGGCTCGCGTCCTAACGCTCCGTTCGTTACGTACGGCCAGGTTCGCCCCCGTTCGCCTCCTATCCTCGCGAGACGTCCTAACGCTCCGTTCGGACGTCGCGTCCCACCTCTCGCAGCGGCGCCTTCTCCTCGCCGAACCTGGCCGGTGGACCGGTGGGGTCCCGACGTGACGTGACTGAGCTGAACGCACTGGAGCGTTCACCAGAATGGTTCAGGAAGGAAGGTTTTTTTTAATGGTTTTTAAGATAAATGTGCATTTAAGATATTTAAGTGATGACTGGAAGCATGTGACTTTGCATCAAGACTTGGCCAATGGACAAGATACTATCAAAGGGATCCTCTTGATGGAAGAACTCTGAAGACGTCCACCAAAACCCCACAAAATTCCGGGATTGCAGGACATTGAATACCACAAAAAACTATCTCAAAATCTGTGAAAATGACTGAATTTCAAAACAAAAGAAACACATCAACACAACACAAGATACAAGCCACCCATTTCAATGACTGGCATGGATTTTGCATCCTGCATCCTGCATCTGCACCCAGTGTTCTTCTCCGTCCCCCGTCTCGCTTTCCCTCTCTCCGCTTTTCGCGGCCTGGCGAGCGTCTCGCGCAGCGGCAAGCGCTCGGTGCAGGGCGCGTAGAACATCACCGGTGACGCCGTCCACGACCGTCGTGGTTCGAATGCGGGTTCAACCGTCGGGTCCGGTGGTCCGGAGGTGAAAAGGTCTATTTGGAAAGGAGGTCTTTTCATGGCAAGAAATGATATGGATGATATTCAAATGCTATTAAAATTATTGTTTCTCTCGTAAGAAAAGGTGCGGTCCCATGCTTGCCAGAATTGTGTTGACAGTGATTGAGATCTCTTTCCAAATGCGGTGACGACGAGAGTGAGTGGGAAGGTGTGCTTCTTGCCACTGCCGGCATTTCATGAGGCAAGAGCATGCTGCGGCAATTGCTTGGTAGCAATCTTGAACCAGAATGTCAAGCATCATGCAGGTTTGGGTTCATTCAGGACAGAGAGAGGAATTACTACATCCTTTGCTTCAGAATTGTCTGTTGGACTCCTGCAATCACTTAAATTGATAGCCGCAAAGTCTGCAACTTGTCTTTCTGCATAGATCCTTCTGGCGCAAGCGCCGATTGCTTTGCAATCGATTCCAGGACAGTCCGCGTTCTAAAACCTCCAGCGGACCTGCAGCCGACTTCGCAAGTCGGACCGGCAGAGTCCTTATGTTACATCTCGAGCCTTTTCTCGAGTCGCCGAGTTTCTGCTTCCACACAACACTCGTCGAGTTTCTGCTTCGGTCCACCCAAAGAAGACTTAACATGACTTAACATGTTATTGAGAGACTGTTTGAGAGCTTGTATCACATCGGTCTTCCCGTCTCCCCGTCATCATTTCTCCGTTGAAAGGACTTGCCACCGGCGCTGGCGCTCAACGGCAAGCTTTAACAGCGAACTTGCGCTGAGGCCACGCTGGCTCCACGGCGCTCCGGATTCCGTGCCTTTGGCAGAGTTGGAGCCATTCCGAATTCGAAGCCATTCGCTCTTCACAGCATCCTTCATCAGTCCAGTTGGAGCAACTCGACGAACTCCTCGAAGGAGAGCTCGCCCCCGCTCTCCTCCACGTTCGCCAGGACCGAGTCCACAAAGCCCTCGTCCTCCCGAAGGTTCGAGACAGAGCAGTCGCTCGTTTGCACCCCCTTGTTGAATGAATCATCTCTTTCCAAGAGAGCCACCATTAAGGCAAATCATGGATGTCTAGGGCCTAGGGGTTCTGGATGGATCTATGGATCTGGATCTATCATGGATGGATCTGGGGAGAGCTTGTACTACTGGAGATCGAGATGTGTTGACTTCGTTTACGTCGTGGCCTTCCTACCTGAATCGCTTGCATCCAGTCTCTGATGGGTTGTGCCTGATGCGAAGAGTCGTTCAAAGGAGCTTGCGCACTACTGGCAAGAATATCACCGACCTCTAGAATGTTTGCTGGATGCAATCTGGCTTGGGAAACTCTCAGATCAACACTTAATAGCGATACCGGGAAATTACCCGGTCTACCCGGTATGGGAAACCCATTCCGAAACCCACCAAAATCGATCACAGTGCACCAAAGCGGCTTTGCTGGCCCAGGGCAAACCTCCACCCAGTCTGAGACTTAGCCCTCTGGCGCCCCTCATCAACTCGCCCAGTCTGCGCGGTTGCGCCTTCTTCGGAAAGAGTCCCTGCAAAGCTTCGCCCTCCAGAACTAGCCGAAGATTCTCCTGGGAGATGCTCCCCACATTGCTCCGGTCGAAATCCTGCGACAGGCCGCGTCGGGAGTTCGGCGGCGGGCCCGAGCTTAGTGGAAATGGGCGGAGCAAGGCTTCCTTTCGATAAAACGTATTACTAAGTACAAGTAACCCAGACACTCCATGTATGCCATATACTACATTGACCCCCAAAACTATCCCAATGTAGGCATATATGGCACACATGGAGCGTCTGGGTAAGATCGAGATTCAAACCCATTTCAGTTGCACCTTCCACCATCTTCCTGAGTTCTTTGGTCCTGGAAGGCAGCCCAAAGCAAATCACGACGTTCCATGAGCTGCGAGTCCATGATGGCCGCCTCCGCAAGCGGACGGAAAACATGGGATGTGCCAAAGTGGCGTCCAAAGATGTACCGTGGTTTCTACTAGTAGCTCCTGGCCTTACTACTAGGAGCAAGAAGCTGGTGCAGACCTGAAAACATCTGAAAACACTGTACTTCAGACTTCAGTGACTTCAGTGGTCTATTTTTTCGAATGGCAGCCCTACTTTTGGAAGCCACCCGTCCGCTCTGGGCAATCTGAGAATCCGAATGTCTTGCAGCAACCTCTATGCCTCGGAAACATGTCCGGGTGTTTGTCCTGTAACATTCAAGCTTGCATCATCCATGGCAGCAAGCTATGACCAGAAGCCTCCCCCCCGGTTTTCTACCTTACTACTATAGCGACTCTTGTCTAACGCGTCCACCCGTCCTCACTCCGTCCCGGTCGGCCGCGCCAGGAACTCGCTGTAGTCGATCTCACCGGATCCGTCGGTGTCCATGGCCACAAAGGCCTGGCACCGGACCACCGGGGTTCACCCTAAATGAACAAGTCAGTGGTATAGATCTTATGATGAATTGTGGAGACAGAATGATACAGCTCAACAGATAGCTCAAAAATATGGAATCATTTTTTGGGGTGCGTTGGTTTTGTGAAGTTCGCATGCTTCAATCTCCTCACTACCAAAAGTCTCTACCCACAAGCCAAACGTTTGGCGAACCAAATCATTCTTGTGGCGAACCGTAACATCTAAACAATTCAAAAGCGGTCGGTCTTCCTTTGATGTGCCCAGGCCACAGTTACCATGATGTTTGTGATGTGTGTATTTCTGTCGAAGCCCCGTTCGTTGGGTCGAGGATGGGTGTCGTTGGCATCCGACTTGGCCTCAGCGGTAGCTGCCGGGCTGTTGGCAGTTGGACGGATCCACTCTACCGTGTCTTCGAAGCCCGTCGAAGTGACGTGGGACATCGTGGGACACTGTCCAGTTCAGTTCGATTTCAGAAACTTCGCCAGGAAACACGGGAGAATGAGAAAGCTCTATAATTACAAATAGTAACAAGAAAAACCAGTCAGTGATTACTCTCGACTTCTGCACATAGTTCTTTTTTTTGCGGTACTCTTCCTAATCACACAATTTCAGTATAAAGTAATATCACCACCAGGAAACTTGGTTGGGGGATTTGCCGCTTTGCATGAAACTGGAGCCTCCCAAAAGAAAATGGAAGGAGGCAAGCGAACACACATTAGAAACATTCATGAACGCCCTGGTCGTGGACCTTTGGAGTCTATTCAAAAACTGGTGAGTTTTGAATTGCGGGACCATGTATAAAACAATATGACTTCTTGTTCATGAACCTATATACTTCGTACTTATATTATTCCTCATCTTCCTCGATCTCAGCACCTTCCGTGAACAGACACGATCTCGCGCGAGCGCGATCCATCGAGCCTGTTCCATCCAATCGGCGGAGCGCGCGAAGCGCTCGCCCACCAAGGAGAAGCTGATCTGCCACTCCTGGCATCTCCAAAGGCAAGGGCAATTGCAAAGCGACGCATGTATGCAGCAAGAACAAATCAGATCAGACCGTCTGACCAGCATCTAGATGGCTCAATTGTCAATGGAGACACCCCAAACTGATTGGCAAGAGGAACTAAGCTTCAATTCAAAAGCTCCGCATTCTCACAAAACATCACAAAACGACAAAACGACAAAACATCAGTCTCACGCGGTCAGGAGAGATAATTCTCAAAGGCTACACCCACCTGTTTGGAGATGGCACCATCTCCATTGCCATCCACCGATTCGAAGATCTCCCGCAACTGTTGGAGCTCATAGCCTCCGAGGTGCCGGGCCGCCGAGGTCAACACGGCCTGGCGAGTGCGGGAACCGTGGAACCACACGAGCCGGTGGAACGAAGGCAAAAAGCCCGGTGAATCCGAGACATTAGGGTGATCTATAGGTAATATGGCGGTATGGCTTAGGTATATATAGCTCAGACTTAGCAGCTGTAGCAGCTGGAATTTTACAAGCTAAGTCAGGCCTCAATGAAATAATTACTGAACCTTGCTGAAATGGGATTCCAGTTGCATGTCCAGTTGCTTTGCAGCTACACACGTCAAACGTGGTTCCGATTGGTAGGCAAACGAAGAGTTGGAAGGCCATCCGTGTGACATCCAATTCATTCTGCTGCTGGATGTCTAAAGTTTCAAACCATAAGCTCAAACCCTAAGCGCCTAAGAAACCATAATATCATTCCAAAATATATTATAATATATACCTGCTCCCCCATATGGGAAGATTTTTCTTGTTATACGCATGTGGCAAAAAAAAGTTGGCGTTCGGCCAAACACGGTTCCAAGAGATATTCACGATGCAGCACCGTTGTTTGCTCAAGCTGCACGGCTGCTTCACTTGGTGCTTTGTGGCCCCGTTTGGGGCTTAGCAGTGAGAAAGGGGCATGCTCTAATGAGATATCTCTGCAACGTCCGGAGAGAGGCCGCAACAGCAGCTGTTCTGCGGCTGGTGCGGCCGATTTGGCCGACGAAGTCCTTAGCTTTTGTTTGGAGAGTTTGAAATTCAAGGGGCATCCGGGGCATCGAGTTCTGGTTTTAAGTATATCCTCATAGCTCAAAAACAAATATCCCAAAACTATAGTTGGAACACCCAGCAAGCGGCTTCGTCTTGTTGGTTTGTTTCGCTGAGCGGGTTCAACACTTCGGGGCAACGGCGGGCTGATGCAAGTAGTCGTCTGAACGAATGGTCCAAATGTTGGATCTTCGGGAAAAGTGGGAATCTTGACAATCTCTTTGAGTAGGCTTCTTGTGCAAGACTTGCGTATTCCCAGATAAAAACTCTACCCGAGTAACCTGCTTTTTTTGCCTCCTCTGGGGAGAGCCACAGATCACCTCCATAAAGAACTCTCATACACTGGTTGATTGCGCGGGCAGCGGACAACACTTTCGCAAGAGTGGGAGGCAAAGGTTCCCCACGCTCAACCAATGTATCCTCAATAAACTTGACATAGATTCTTGTGTCATCAAACTTGCTCCATCCCACATCAGGGGTGATGGACGGATTTCCTTGTGGAAACATCGCTCCATGAGGGCGCTGGTTGCCTTTCTTGATCCAAGCTGCTAGCATCCGTACAGTT